ATGTTTGGAGTTTGCTCTATGTCTGGAAGTTAGCTATCTCAAACACCAAAAAATGCTGGATCCGCCCCTGATATATATATATATATATATATATATATATATATATATATATATATATATATATATATATATATATATATATATATATATATATATATATATATATATATGTATATTTATATATATATACATATATATATATATATATATATATATATATATATATATATATATATATATATATATATATATATATATATATATATATATATATATATATATGTATATATATATATATATATATATATATATATATATATATATATATATATATATATATATATATATATATATATATATATATATACTATATATATAAAACACTGCAACGCAGAGCCATTGCAATTTATTTTTTGATTAATTTCCTTAATAACAATACACAGAGGAAGAATATCGTTTTAAAGGCAACCAAAAATAAATTAACAAGGGTATCATCATTTTTGTTAGAGCAGTTATCAAGTAAGTTTGGGTTTTATTTTTACCATAATGTCAAGGATGTTGAATTAAGGGTAAATAACTTATAATTATTTACATTATATTGTTTACAAAATTGGCGCAATATTATAAACTATATTGGGACAATATTGCAATGTGAACATTTTGCCGATATTGGCCAATCTTGGCGCTTTAATATTGCGCCAATACTGTAAAGTCAATATTGGCCAAGATTGGCAAAATGTTCACATTTCAATATTGGCGCGATAATGCTTAAAATATTGCGCCATTATTGTAAGTAATATTGCGCCAATAATGGGGATATTATACTGGCCAATATTGGCGTAATATAGTTTACAATATTATCCTGAGTAATATAGTTTACAATATTATCCGTATAGTTTACAATATTATCCTGATATATATAATATATATAACTATATTAAGGCAAAATGTTGAGTTTTTTTGATTAAATTTTTATTAATAAAAAATAATAAAAAATATTGCTTTCTAAAAATTTTTAATAATTAAAATTTATAACAGTTTTCTTGATTAAATGATACTATAGTACTAGACTGCATTATTCTTATGAGTAAAACAGGTTATAGTCTAGGAGATTACAACGATCATATAACACGCTAAAAAAAAAACAGGTTATAGTCTAGGAGATTACAATGATCATATAACACGCTAAAAAAAAAAACAGGTTATAGTCTAGGAGATTAGAATGATCATATAACACGCTAAAAAAAAAAAAGGAAATTATTAATCTTATTTGAAGTGATATAAAACAGATAAAAATGAAAAAAAGAGGTATAGAGTTTTCCAAAACCAAAATATAACAAAATAAAATCAATGCTATTTAAATACAGGTACAAAAAATATGTATATATATTTATAAACTAGTTGTTTCTCATCTCCAGCCGAAGTAAGAAAGTTCATCTGAAATAAAAAAACAAATGTAATATAATTGGTTGTACTAAAAGTTTAATGGTTCCTCTTATGTGTATGTGTTAGACGGTTTTCCATAATGTAATTCTTATTAAAATATGACATTATGATAGAGTAAAAGCAATTGGTTATAAATAGATTAGGTCAACCTTTTTTTGCAGATCAGGCCTGATTTTTTTTTTATAAAACTTTCATAATGTAACACTTGAAAGAATACCATCCAAAATTTCATACAGGATTGTGAGCTTCTCCTACCCTTGACCACAATAACAGAGTAGTATAAAATTCTCCAAGATAGGTAGCATTCGCCGCAGCAAAAAAGTTGTGGTGAATACAACATAAAGATGTCATAGATGTCTGAGATTAGTAGTCATTGCTACACAAAATACATTGCTAACTGGGCATAAAAGATAAAAATCAAACAAAATGTAGTAGACATTTATATAGAACGTTCTTATATACATTATAATTATAATCCATCATGTATCATACTGTATCATTTATTTGTACGTTTTATATGAATGTATCATTTTTTTTTTTAAATAGAAACTTTAATAGTATATGGAACTGTTTCCAAAACTATTAACTAATATTAATTTACTGATACATACTCACTGATTCATAATGTGCCTTTGTTCCGTAATTTTTCTTCCAGGTTAAGATGATTTATTTTCCTCTTTAACCAACAAAAAACTCAATAAAAAACACTCAATCACATCAATAAATTGAAAGAGATGGTCAAGCAAAACTCTGATGGAAACACTTGACCCTAAAAAACTAAAGATTTCTTTTATCTTTGAGTAACTGATGTACGATCTTATCAGTGTCACTTTTTTTGTAACCTGAAACTTTTTAAGCTAGAGGCATAGATAATTTTTCTTCATCACTATTAACAGCTGTTTCAACGCATGATGTAAACTCTAACATTACCATTCTAAAGCAGTTTCTAAACTGTCAAAAAAAATATAAAGAAAATATGAAACCATACTAAACAAGGAACAGTATTTGAGTCAAATATAGCTGTCTTGATCATTAGCATCTTGCACGTGTGTAACTTAAAACTAAACAAGCAAAAACAATATTGTAAATAAGCAATTACCAAAATAATAAAAAAAATTTATTATTAGCTGCTTCCAGTTACTTTTATAAGCGTGGCTTCACGTATGGCAGCCAAAAAGTAAGATGCTTGCAAGTGATTTGGCCAATACATCAAAACTTTCATTAATCAGCCATGAAAAACAGGTTACATACATATCACACCTGTTGTTTTTCAATTAAAAAATTCAACCAGAGCAAATTTTCTACACTTTATTGCCATCTTCAGTTTAACAGTACAACAGCTAAAAAATTCACAACAAATAACTATATATTATAAAAAACTTCAGAATCGCTTTTTCTTCATATTATTATTATTATTTTTTTTTTAACTAAAACATTAGTCTAATATTTATTGAGCTTTATTTCTTAATATAAATTGTAATCGTTTCGTATTTCAAGTAGAGTTTGATAATTGGTTACTAAAAGACAGTGAATTTTAAAGTTTGTATGGTTTGGAAAGGTTTCCATAATAACATTTTCTTATTTAAATATGACTTAAAGGAAGAGTTAAGAATATTTGCTACATATTTATTTTTTATCAGTGTTTTCATCCTCTAGTAAAGTTTGGCTTTTTATTATGGAGTATAATTTTATTTATTGTAGAAATAAAATGGTGCATACACTACGGCTAAAGAGCCGTAGTAATTGCACCCTGAAGACAACCAACTTAAGGCTCTAAGCAAATTTTTACCCCGAGATTACGAGGTTCAAATGAGCATGAGATTAAGATCTCATGGTCAATTAAATGAGTTAATCAGGCATTTTTAGTGAGTTACTAAAAACTCTTAATTGAACATGAGTTAAGATCTCATGGTCAATTAAATGAGTTAATCATGCATATGGAGCACTAAAATGAAGTGTTTTAATGTTTAAATAAAAACAAAAATTAATCTGTGTTTAAATAATCAGAAATTTAATTTCATATTAATTTTATTACTACAATAAATAAAATTATACTCTATAATAAAAAAAAGAGTTTGTTCACTGGCATACTGTATAACTTTACTATTTAAGATTAAAAAAAATGATAAACAGCATTTGTTATTTAAGTATTAGGGTTGGCTTCATTAAAATATGATATCTCAACCAACTTGATTTTAAAGTATCTTTAGGCAAATAACTATTATAAGAGTTTTGATGTTATTATTATTATTGTTGTTATTATAATTATTTTCTAAGGTTATAATTTTAAAAAAAGAATAATTAGGCATATAAAAAAAGTTTATCAACCTTTTGTTCTATTGTGTCTACTTGTGTAGGCATAATTGTCTATACACAATTGTACATTTGATGTACCCAATATATATATATATATATATATATATATATATATATATATATATATATATATATATATATATATATATATATATATATATATATATATATATATATATATATGTAACTTTTACTGGGTTAGATATATTTTTTACTTTTTTGTTGTTGTACTTTAAATAACCAATCAAATATTATATATAATATATATATATATATATATATATATATATATATATATATATATATATATATATATATATATATATATATATATATATATATATATATATATATATATATATATATATTAAAAGAAATGTTGATCCGGTTGTTTTTTTTATTCAGACAATTTTCTACATGCATTTTCTATGCACATGCCAAATTTCAACGAAAAATAATTGGTAGCAGATAGTTTAAAATGTGTTATATTACGTATACCACTTATTTTAGGTAGCTTTAGGCAAACGTTTTTTTGTGTGTTTCTTTTAAGAAACATGTATAAACATAAATTATTTTCATAAAGGAGAAAGGTTGATCTAAATTTTTATATGACTTTTATGTATGGTTACCCAACATTTTTATGGATTATTTTGCTGACAATATTGCATGAAAATTTCGTCCCTGTTCTCACAATAATTTGTTGTCGAAGGAATGTTGATCCGGCTTTTTTTAGTTAGTTTTCCTATATTTTTTGTTTTTTGTTTTTTGTTAGTTTTCTATATTTTTTTCTATTCCTATATTTTTTGTTTTTTGTTAGTTTTCCTATATTTTACATGCATTTTCTTAGCACCTGCCAAAAATCAACGAAAAATAATTGGTAGCAGATAGTATAGTTAGTGTTTGACTTTTGATACATAATTTTGGTTTTTTTGTTGTTTTTTTCGTTAAGCTTAATACGGGGGTGGATAGAAGGGCCGACTATAACAAATCCTAATATCGTATTATTTTGATTTTTATTATTAGATTAAAATAAAAAATGAATTCTGACAGAAGTTTTATTAAATCTATAACAGATAGTAAGTTTAATTTTTTTTATAATGATATCAATAATAACTATTTAAAATCAAAAAATATTCATAAATCATTTATGAATATTTTCTGATTTAAAATTCTTTTTTATGTAACATATAATTTATCTGTTTTTATATGATATAAAAACAGATTAATTCTTAATCTGTTTTTATATGTTACATAAAAAAGAAGATTAATGCTTCAATTTAAAACTTTGCTTTTGAATGTATTGTTAACTAATAGTATCTGTTGTCAATTTTATTATGACACAACATACAAATCAGATAATTCATTGGTTTATTCCTTGCAAAAGACTTGTTAGTAATTTTCAAATATAATAAAACTTATAATCTTATTATCATCTTTAATTATTTTTGGATTGTATACTTGTGTGTATAATGTATTGTATAATGTGGATTATTATTTAAATCATAATACAAGCATGCCTAATGTTTACATGTTGTTTAGATCCTGCTGCACATTATGAAGCCTTTTTGAGATGTCGTAAGTATAAATCAAATATTTTATATATAACCACAACCAATATAACCTAATTAATATATAAACAAAGTGAATAACCATTCCTAATGTTAGCTTGTTGTTTATTAATATATATTCTTTACATTTTCAATGATAGCTTTCATTATGTTAATACAGTTGTTGCATCTTCCACAGAATTATGATTTCTTTCTTTTCATAGTGTTTTGTTGTAATTATACACTTTTTTTTGTTATTTTTAGTTCAATCTACCCAGCTTATTTTATTTATTTTTATTACTTTTTTTATCTTTAACAACATCATCTGCAATGAGTGGTAAGTTTAGCAATTATTAATTTTTAATTTTTGCATTTCTTGACACTTCCAAATTTATTTTTTACTAAAACTTTTTAGCTCTAGTTCCATCCTCAAATGCATTGAGTGGTAAGCTTAAAAATATTTTTATTGCATCCTTCAAAAAACCTGTGCATGTATGTATGTATTTCGGATCAATTGCAATATTTCTTTTTTATTAGATTTTTTTTTAACTTACTTCCATCTACATCTGCAATAATTGGTATGTTTACAAACTTTCACTTTTCAATATGTTTATGCATTTCTTGGCAATCACAATATTTATTTTTACTTCAACTTTGTTAGCCTTTAGTTACATCTTCAGCTGCTACAAGAGGTAAGTTTATAAACTATTAATTTCTAATATGTGTATGCATATCTTATCGATAGCAAGTAAATTGTAATTTTATTTTTAAAAAATTTTACCTTGAGTCCCACAACCTCCACAACAACTACAGATTTAGGGTCCAGTACCCTAGACCAATTAGTAATCGTTCATTTTTGCGGTGGGTCCGGTTATGAGGGAGAAATGGTGAATCATTCAGCTGGGTCTATCATCCTCCTAACAGGGGTGCTGGGAGCTACAGCAGAAGAGGAAGCCATGGAGGAGGTTGTGGGCAAAGACAGAATGGTGGCGGCCTTGTCGTGAATGGTGGCATCCACTATTACTAGGCGCCATCATGCCTGTTTTTTTTTTAAATAAATATATAACATTATCAAGTTTGTTTTCCATTTTGTCCCAATTTTTACAATTATTAACATTTGATTTATTTATTTTAAATCTTTCATAAAATGATTTAAAAACGAAGCATTGACAGGTGTAATAGTTTGCAAGGGATCTATTTTTTATGTTTTCAATGTGATTAAAAGTTGTAGTTTAGAAAGTATTAAAGTTGTAACTATAAATAGTTATAGAGTTTTTAATGCGTTTAGGATTTTTTGAGGTTTTGAGTTTTTGAGGTTTTCTCATAGCACATATTAAATGTAGTTTCAAATTTATATGTAATGTTTTATAGAGTTAATAAATGTTAAATATCTTTGCATACCTAATTACTATTCTTTATTTTATTTTAGTTTATGTACTGTTTTTTTGAGTTAAGAAATATTATTTGATTATAGACCAGTTTAATTGTTTGATTTTAAACCAGTTTAACTTGTTTACAGTTCCTAAATATTATATTTACGTAACCATTACTTGTTTGTAGAAGGTATGTATGAGATTTTTTTTTACATGTTTTATTATAATGTTATTAATAATTAACAAGTTTTTATATATTGTTTGTTTACTTTTCAAAAAATTTAATTAAAACTATGGTATTTAACTCTTTGTATATATATATATATATATATATATATATATATATATATATATATATATATATATATATATATATATATATATATATATATATATATATATATACATATATATATATATATATATATATATATATATATATATATATATATATATATATATATATATATATATATATATATATATATATATATATATATATATATATATATATATATATATATATATATATGTATATGTATATATATATATATATATATATATTTTTTAAGAATTATTGGTTTAAAAAAAAGTGGAGCAATGTTTGCGGATGAAGTGAAAAAAGATTGATCTTACATATGGTGCCTATAGACGGCTCTGGCTTACCTTCACCTGGTGTCTATTGTTAAAAATGAATTATTTAGTTTTTTTTAATTAATATATATATATATATATATTTCGTCAATAAACAATCATTTTACAATGTTTTTTATAAAAATTAAAAATTAAATATTTATATTCTGACAGGAGCAAGCAGAAGACAATGTCTCTTATCACCCTGCTCCTAAGTTCGTGAAAATATCAATAAAGTTTTACGTATTAACTTCTTAAAATATACGTTGTATAAGTTTTATAAATATTGCAAGTTTTGTACATAATACAACACATCACAGTTCACAAAATATACATAGGCCACAAGCATATATACGTGTTAACAAATCAATATATAAATGTTTTTTTAAAAATACAAAAGAATGTTTTTATTATTTAAATCTAATAAGTATAGTTTAACGGCTCTTTTAAGTTTCATCATTGGAATTTTAAGTAATATCATTTACTAAAAGCCAAGACATAAATTTATTTATTTTGTATTTTAAAACTTTTTAAAATATAAGTTTTAAAACTTTGGTTAATTTTTAGGGTGGATACTCAAACTTGCATCTTGTAATGTGGTAAGATTAGTAAAGTTATGTCTCTCTTTTTACACAATTTAAAGACATTTTTAAAATTTCTATTGACATTTTTTTAAAGTTTAAATAAGAAGAGGAGGGGGGGCGTTGGGTGTGGCACACACCCCTCCCTTTACTAACATGGTAAAATAATCTTGAATACTAATTTCTCTTTTTAAATAAACTTAGTTTAAAACCATTTTTCAAATATCTTTTAACAATTTTTTTTTAGGTTGGAGAAGACTGAGAGGAAGGGGGAGGGGCGTTAAGGGTGGCATCGTCCCGCCCCTAATTTCAATTTATGCACCACTTGTATATGCTGTTATGTGAAAAAATATAATTTAATCTTTTTAACACAAAATATTATGTGTTAAAAAGTTGTTTTTTAGGTTCAAATATTTATAAGATGGTAACATTTCACTACGAGGGTGTTAAAACGTAACAAAGACATCCACCCTTTAATCTAAAATATACCACTAATATTTGGAAATGTAATGGAAGCAAATTAGAACAACTTTTTGTGTATAAAGATAACAAATTTTATCAGAGAAATACTCTTTCGTGTGAAAAACTTGTATTTTTTTAAGGTTACGATGGTGTTTTGATACCCCCTCTGGCCCTCTAGATACCCCTTTTATCTAGAAAACTATATGAACTTGTAGCCTACTATTACATCTATCTTTTGATACCAAGGTATAGACATTTGGATAAGATTTGATAAAGTTATAACAATTTCAGTGAAAAATAAATAAATTTTAGAACCAGTTTCTTCAAGAAATCCATATATCGAAAAATTGCTACTAAAAACGTCATAACTTTTTTTTAAATTGTTCGTTTTTAATAATTTTTTCACCATTAAAATACTTTATTGAAGGGCTTTCTAATGATATATAACATTCTAGTATATGCTCAATTAAAAAAAATCAGTCCACTTGCCTTTATATATATATATATATAAATATATATATATATATATATATATATATATATATATATATATATATATATATATATATATATATATATATATATATATATATATATATATATTATACATAAAAGTTGAATAAGGTTGCTAACATATATTAGTTATATATGACACATATTATATCTGTATCAACTGTAATAAATAATATAAATATTATTTATTACAGTTGAAAGATTAACAGTTAATCATTAAAAAAAAAAGTCTCGTTTTTACCTAGACTTTTTTAGAAAAAGATACATGATACAGCAAGTAGTAGCATATTGCAATTGTTATTGGAGAGACTTACAATGTAAGATAAAATATGTTATAATATTACAAATATGTCAGTTACATTTTTAAAAAATTTAACTTAAAAGTAGGAAACATTACAACTTTACATTGAAGGCAAATAATTTATAAATAATTTAAATAGGAAACAATATTAAAAATTTTTATCAATATCTCTACTTTCCATTTTATTTAATCTAAAAAAAAAACTTAAAATTTTATTTAATTAAAATCAAATATAAACAATGTTTATTTAACCCCTCTGTCTCCCGCGACCACTTCAGCAAAGTGAAAATTAGGTACCAAAAGTGCGACAAAAAATAGACACCCTGCTACAACTTTTTTTCAATGAAATTTTCCAGGTGCATAGATAAATGAAAAACTTAAAAAAAAGAATAGTATAGAAAAAAAAAAAAGAGCATATCTTTGAAATTAATTTCATGCCCAAATTACAACAAAGTTTTAGACATCAAAAAACTCAATTAAAAAACTATCTAGTAAAATAATAAACCTCACAGTAATAAAGTTTAACTATTCTAGTTTCTAAAAATAATCTATATTGATATCAAATTCTAAAAAGTTTTTTAACTAAACACGTCTTCCCTACGCTAGCTAAAAAAAAATCTAATAAGCGTGGCACAGTTTTTTAGCACAATATTCGGTTTCGTAAAACGGATATTTCCACGTACCTAATATATATATATATATATATATATATATATATATATATATATATATATATATATATATATATATATATATATATATATATATATATATATATATATATATATATATATATATATATATATATATATATATATATCTACCGTAATAGTTATTGCGGAAGTTGCACATGCAAAAATGCACATTCCGTAACGCGCAATACGAAAATATAAATAAATAAAATCCCGTAATAAAGCATTGCGAAAGAAAACTTCCGAAACAAATCATTTCGTAAGAATAATTACGAAATAGTTCCTTACGGAAAAAGCATTCCGGAATGTGCAATTACGAAAAAGACGCAAAAGATTTTATGTTACAATATATATTTAAGATACAAACTGTTAAAAGTTTAAATAATAAATAATAAAATTATAAAAAAATGTTGTCAAATGATTCTTCAAATGTTTATACAAACATACCTAATATATATATATATATATATATATATATATATATATATATATATATATATATATATATATATATATATATATATATATATATATATATATATATATATATATATATATATATATATATATATATATATTATATATATATATATATATATATATATATATGTATATATATATATATATATATATATATATATATATATATATATATATATATATATATATATATATATATATATATATATATATATACATATATATATACAGTAAAATCCCGTTAAGTTTGACTCTCAATGAACAGATAAACAGTATGCCTTTCTTTTTAAAAAGTATAAAGAGGATGTGTGATAAACAATTAAATACTTTATTATAAAGAACGAGAGATCTCTCTAAAGGTAAATGATATTAGAAAGAGTAAAAAGAGAAGAAATATATGTGATACAGCGGGATGTGAACCTGGGTCTCCGCGGCCAAATGTCTCAACTGAATGAGCTATACATTCATTCAACTAAGTGAATAGTAATATTTATTTACTATATAATTAAGAAACTATATAAAACAGAATTTACAGAAAGAGATACGTATGCAAATAGAATTCTATATATCAGGAAAATGAATAGTAATGTGAACCTTTAGTTGCTTATAAACAATATCTGGACTCGAAAACTAGTTACTTTTAATGGAACACAATAGGCTGTAGGAGCTTCAGGGAAATTATATTAAGAAATGATTATATTACACTCAGAGTTAGCTAGAAATTATTATTTTTTTATTTTTTTTTTATTTGCATTCACTCCCAACAAGGCTGCAAGCAACCACTATTAAGTTGGGAGTTACTAGGAAAAAAAAAGAACAGAGTTATAGAGCAAGGAAACGGTTGACAGAAGACTTAAAAAATTGAAGGTTGTATGAGTCAGGAAAACATGAAGATGGGAGAGAGTTCCAAAGGATTGAAGTGCGGGGAAAAAAACTAGATGAATAAAAGTTTTTAGAGCATGCAGGGACAGATACAGAAAACGAATGAGACTTAGCTGAATGACGAGTAAAACGAGAATGAATTTTAGTTGATGGAACTAGAGATGATAACTCCTTTGAGCAGTGAGCATGATAGTATCTGTAGAAAAGAGAAAGAGATGCAACTTTAGGACGATGGGAAAGAGGTTCAAGCTTAGCAGATAGTCCAGGTCCAACAACATTTACAATGCGTTTTTGGACCTTGTCAAGAAGAGAGAGTGAATCGTTAGAAGAACCAGCCCAAATATGACAACAGTATTCCATACAGGGACGAATAAGAGATTTGTAGAGGTAGAGAATGGAATTAGAAGTAAGGAAATGGCGAGCACGATAAAGAGAAGCAACCTTAGCAGAAGCTAATTTAGCAATCGATTGTATATATGGTTTCCATGAGAGGTCAGTAGTAAGCGATAATCCAAGAAGACGTAAAGAGGAGGACTCAGTACGAGGATTGCCATTCATTAATATAGGAATGTTGACCATATTACGGTAGTTGTTTGCAGTAAGCAACTTGGTTTTTTTAGAGTTGAAATTCACAAGCCACTGTGAACCCCAATCTATTACTGAAGTGAGATCAGATTCAAGATCAGCTGCTTGTTCTAGGCGATCGAAAAGAGAAGACTTTTTGTCAAGACAGGAGTATAAAGTTGAGTCATCAGCAAAAAGAGCTACTTTAGATGAAAGGTTGTCAGGAAGATCGTTTATGTAAATAAGAAACAAAACAGGGCCCAGGATGGAACCTTGGGGAACCCCAGAAGTTACTGGAAATAAAGAAGAGTGTTGGCCTTCAAGGATGACTTTAATAAACCGGTTAGAAAGAAATGATTTGATTATCTCAAAAACTTTCCCAGATTATTACAAAGTGTTTAGGACAGATGTCTAGTACAAAAAGCACAAGATTTAAAGCAAAATGATTTATTTTATTTGAAAAAATTGTTTTACGTACATTTCATCATAATTTAAGTAGAACTTAGTAAAGCAAGGGAAACGTGTAGAATTAAGCACAATGAACTCAATCTTAAAAGAATAACTAACAGAAGAGAGGTTGTCACTATTATGAAGGTGACGAAAGATCTGTAATATAGAATATGGAGGTCAAAAAATGCTATCTTAAGTAAAAAGAGTTTGATGAACAAAAGTTACAATGGCTGCGGGGTGCGAACCCGGATCTCTGCGGCGAATTATCACGTATCTAACTGATTGAACTATACGATCTTATACTTAAATTTATATCTTATTAAAATTAAAAAACAATATTTTCTAAGATCTATACTTCGAAAAGCGTATTCAAACAAGACTCTACATACCTTTAAAATCTGCTAGAACTTTAGTAACGTGCACACTTTTAGAAATTATTGAAATAGGTATATTTTATCAGAAATATGCTTAAGCTAAAGCATATTTTTGAGCCTCTTTTTACTATTTACTTAAGCATATTCGAACCTGTTTCAAAAATTTCATATGCTTTAAAAAAAAAAAACATGTATATTCCTACCTATCATTCTTATTTTTAATATACGTAATGAGTTCAAAAAACATCGTTATATATATTTATTATGGCACGTTTCGTAAGTTTATTTCCGTTAAGAATTCTTTCGTATGTTGTGATCCGAAATACTTTCGTTTCGAAAGAAATTTTATTTTTCATCAATATTTCTAAAAATAAAACCATAAAAATTTAATATGTTATTATACTGAAAAAAAAAATTCATTATAAACATTTTGGGATTTAAAGATGTTAATTTTTACAATTAAAATCAGTCCGGCAAACAAATTTTCTTTATAGACTTCAAAGCGTCATTTGGCGAAAATGTTTGTTTCGCAAGTGCGACTTCCGAAACCGCTACTTTCGTATGTTGCAAAATAGTTTTGTTTCGTATGTCAACTTGCGAAATGCTAAATTTCGGAAGTGGCTTTTGCGAAATGAACATCGGCGATTTTAAATGTTTTGTAACATTCGGTACGAAAAACTGTAATTCCTATTTCTCAATCTCCTTACGAAAGAATGTTGTTTTTCCGGAATTGCACGAAATTCTCCGGTTAACAACCCTAATATATAGATTTATCCATATATATATATATATATGGATAAATCATCTGCGGCTGAATATTTAGCCTCTGTAAACGACTTTTTTTTTCGTTTGCAAGTGCACGTGAGTT